GAGCAAAGTTATACATATAAGGAAGGGAGTCAGGTTTCTCACTGTTTCAGAAGAGATTTCTAAATACAGAAAAGGGGAGGTTAAAAACTTCTCATCCCTTGAGACAGATTAGTGGGCAAAAGGGCTTGCTGTGGGTGCCTGGTGATCTGAGTTTGATCCCTGGATCTCAGTGGAAGAGAACCAACCCCCAAAGTTGTCATCTGACCTACATACTACACACACACAACACATACACCCCACCGCATGCTCAGGCCTGCACGTATACACACCATACACACCCAGAAACATGTGAACTCATTAAATTATATGGCACATAGGCAAGTGCGATGACCCGGTGAGTAAAGGCGATGCTACCAAGCCTGTTGACCTGAGTTCAAATCCCATGGCAGAAGGAAAGAACTGCAAGCCATCCTCTGACCACCACACAACTGCCGTGGCACATGTGCATACATATAGCACAAATAAATATAAACTAAGACTCAGCTGCATGTTCATGATTATCCATGCATGTACAAATGACACAGCTCTGGGGGTGAAAAAACCATAGAACTGAGCACTTAAGATCTTAATTTCTTCAGCTGTCTCTCTTCCCGTTCAGAGGTAGCTATCATTCTGTGTTTCTTCCCAATAAACCACTTGTGGGGGTGAGGGGAATCTAGATTTCTGGGGCTTGAGACGTGGTGCTAGCAGTTAACAGCACATACTATTCTGGAAGACCCAAGTTCAAGTCCGAGCTGCCCATGGACGGCAGCTCACAACCAGGCAAATAACTCCAGCTCCAGAGAATCTGATGCCTTTGGCCTCCAGGGCACCTACACTCACAAGCACATACTCACAGAAAGATATATACACATTATAACTAATTAAAAATAAATCTAAAATTGTTTTGATTTCTATACAACTACACCCACAGCAAAAAAGCACTTCTTCTAGAACTGGGGTATTAGAAAGTAGTATTAAAAATAAGTCTTTGCCATGCCTGAAACACTTAAAAGAATGGCTGGGATTACAGTAGATAATCACACACACACACACACACACACACACACACACACACACACACACCAAAAGTGGGGGAATTGGGGATTCTCTCTTTAGATTCCACAGTGGACTCAAATTTGTCCTCCTGTCTCAGCCTCCCAAGGAAGGCAACGGCAGTGGCATGGAAGACAAAGAAGAGGTATCAGCCAGTGCTGAGGTTGCTGGGCGGAGACTTGATGGAGGGACTACCAAGGCAGTATCAGGTAGCTCCCACCAAGTACCTGTCAGATACCAAGGGGGAGACTACACCACGGAAACAACCTAGCTAGGCAAATGTTCTGTGTTGTTTAGTTTGAAGACACTCTCTACATAGCCCTGGCTGTCCTAGATCACTCTGTAGACCAGACTGGCCATAAACTCACAGAGATCTGCTGGGATCAAAAGCCATGTGTCCCCATGCCTGGCCTAGCCAGGCAAACTTAAAACCATAGTGAGGACAAGGACAGAGAGGTGCTCGGTGCTTAAGAGCACTTATCACTCTTTTTGAGTTTTTTTTGTTTTTATTATATAGACAAGGTTTCTCTATACAACAGTCCTGGCTGTCCCGGAACTCGAACTGTAGACCAGGATGGCCTCAAATTCACAGAGATCTACCTGCCTCTGCCCCCTGAGAGATGGGATTAAAGGTGTGCGCCACCACTGCCATGCCCACTTATCACTCTTGTGGATCTGGCTTTGATTCCCAGCACCCACATGGTGTCTCACAACCATCTGTAATTCTAATTCCAGGGGCTTAATGCCCTCTGACCTCCTCAGGCACTAGGCACTCATGAGGTACACACATACATTCAAGCAAAACAGTTATGTACGTAATATAAAATAAATAAGTCTTCCAAACAAACAAACAAAAAAACATCATTGAGTAATGAGGCAGGTAATTACCCCCAGATCCACTCTGAAGATGGGAACCTATCACTTCTGTGGTTTTCTTTCCAAGAATGCATGGCCTGATATGGTCACAAGGAAAGACCAGAGAGATCCAGTCATCCTAAAGAAGGGAGAATCTGTGTTCTTTAAAACTCTAAAGTGCAGGAATGAACTAGAAATAGAGCTCAGAGATAAAAGAGTGCTTGCCACAGGGGGAGGTGTACTGTTCCAAACTTAAGGAAACTACTGAGTCCAGACAGCTAAAAGGACGATGCAGTACTACTGGCTAGGATTCTGGCACAGAGAGAGCATCCAAGGTGCCCATTCCTATAATTCCAAAGCTTAGGAGGCCGAGGCAAGGATTCATGGGGAGTTCAAAGCCAACAGGACTACAGACTGTGACAGACAGGCAAGCCTTTTTATTCGGGCATTATCTCAGGATGCTCTAACTTCCTGAAATATGAAAATACACAAGCTGGGTGTAGTAGATAAACCTGTAATCCCAACACTCAGGAGGGGAGGCTGGGGAAAGAGGGTCTGGTTCAAAACCAGCCTGGTTCCACATAGTGAGACTGTCTCAAATACAGGTATGTTAGGGTTTCTATACTTAAAATCATAAATAACTGAATCCTAATATTGAAGTCAGAAAGGTAGCTCTGTTCATAGACTGCTTGCCTACCATGCATGAAGCTCTAGGTTTGATGCCCAGAACCACATAAATTAGGCCTGACAGGTCATGCTAGAATCCCAGCACTCAAAAGGTACAGGCTGAAGGATCAAATTCAGGGGGATCATCCTCAGACTAGCAAATTCAAAGCCAGATTGAGAATAGGAAGATCCTGTCTCAACAACAAAAAGTAACCCAGCATGGTGGCTTAATCCCAGCAATTGTGAGGTAGAGGCAGGAAGTGTCTCCCTATATTGGAGGCCAACCTGGGTTATATATCAGTACCAGGGCCAGCCAGGGGTACATTAAAGAGACCCTGTCTCAAAAACAAAAAGTGTCAGGCAGTAGTGATGCATGTCTTTAATCCTGGCACCAGCAAGCGGATCTTTGTGAGTTCGTGGACAACGTGATCTACAGAATGAGTTCTAGGACAGCCAGGGCTATACAGAAAAACCTTGTCTCAAAAAAAAAAAACAAAGGGGGGGGATGGATTTGGGTGTCTAAATAATCTACAGTAGAATGACAAAAATCCTAATTTAAATTCAGTGAACTTTTTGTTTGCTTGCTCTTTTGTTTTGTTTTAGAGACAGGGTTTCTCTGTGTAACACAGCTCTGATTGTCCTGGAACTCAGTTTGTAGACCAGGCTGACCTCCAACTCATAGATTCACCTGCCTCTGCCTCCCGAGTGCTGGAATTAAAGGCAAGTGCCCCCACACCAGCTTCCCTGCCGCCACCCCTTTGAAGGGCAGGGTCTGACTGTGTAGCCTTGGCTGGCCTGTAATTCAGAGATCTTCCTGCCTCTGCAGATCTCTGGCACTAAAAGAGTTCAGCACCACATCAAAGCCCTAACACTGTAACTTTTAACTTAGTGGACAGGGACTCGTGGGAGGAGAACAATCTGAAATATGCAAAGCACACACTGAAAGCCAGCTATGTATGACTCAAAAAAACCACAAGCTGAGGGTGCAAGAAATGGCTCAGCCGGGCGGTGGTTGCACAAACCTTTAATCCCAGCACTTGAGAGGCAGAGGAAGGCAGATCTCTGTGAGATCAAGGCCAGCCTGGTCTACAAAGTGAGGTCCAGGACAGCTAGGGCTGTTACACAGAGAAACCCTGTCTCAAAAAAAATCAAAGGAAAAAAAAAATGTTTCAGCACTTGCTGCTCTTCCAGAGGACTGGAGTTCGGTTTCCAACACCAACACCCACATGGTGGCTCATAACCCTCTCTAACTTTAGTATCAGGGATCCACACCCTCTTCTGGCCTGCGTGGGTACCAGACATGCATGTAGTGCAGATATATGGCAAGCAAAACACCACTACAAATAAAATTAATAAAAATTATTATTTTTTTAGTTTTAAAAACAACTTTTGCCAGGTGGTGGTGGTGTCGGCTGAAATAAAGAGGGGGAGCAAAAATAATAGAAAGGAAATATATAATCTCCAACTGGATATTCAAGTTTTCATGAAATATTTTTAATACTTTTTAAAATGTAGTAGAGGACCGGAGAGATGGCTCAGAGGTTAAGAGCACCGACTGCTCTTCCAGAGGTCCTGAGTTCAATTCCCAGCACCCACATGGTGGCTCACAACCATCTATAATGAGATCTGGCACCCTCTTCTGGTTTAATAATAAATAAATAAATCTAAAAAAAAAAAAGCTGTAATGTGTAAGGTTAACTTTAAAAAATATATAAATTGGCCGGGCGGTGGTGGCTCATGCCTTTAAATCCCAGCACTCGGGAGGCAGAGCCAGGCCGATCTCTGTGAGTTTGAGGCCAGGCTGGTCTACAAAGCGAGTTCCAGGACAGGCTCCAAAGCTTCAGAGAAACCCCGTCTTGAAAAACCAAAATCATAATAATAATAATCTAACGGGCCAGGCCTGTAATCCCAGAACCTGGCAGGCTGAGAGAAAAAGCCAACCTGGGCTATATAGTCAAACAGTGACTACCATGGCAGCCTGGTATGAGAAGATCCTGACTCAAAAACAAAAATTAAAATTAAAAAACAAGCCAAAGCAGAAATAAATAAAGTTTAATTGACACTTCACACTGAGGAAAGTGAGAGCTGGAAGCCACTTAGAAAAGCTTTGCTCCAGCTCCACCACTGTCTTTACAACACTCTACATCAAAATTTCCAAAGTGTCAGCATTAACAGGCTAAACATATGAAACCAAGGCCGAAGCCTCTTCTTTTTTTTTTTTTTTTGAGACAGGGTTTCTCTGTGTAGTTTTGTGCCTTTCCTGGATCTCGCTCTGTAGACCAGGTTGGCCTCGAACGCACAAAGATCCACCTGCCTCTGCCTCCCGAGTGCTGGGATTAAAGGCGTGCGCCACCACCGCCCGGCCGAAGCCTCTTCATAAGCATAAAAACAATAAATAAAACCAAAAATAAAAATAGAACCCAAAGCAACCAAGAGCCTGAAACAAAGGTGGCTGGGAAAAGTGCCTCTCCAAGACAGATGCCAACATTCTTCCTTGAAAGGAACTCTGTATTTTCCTCCAATCTGCCACATACATTTTTTTTACAAGAAATAAGATACATCTTAAGCATTCTATATTAAATCTTAGTATTTCAAGATAACTGAATTTTCCTGAGCTTTCAAAATATGCAAAAAAAAAGCCTATCATGAAAATAGATACTCAAAATCACAATATTCAAAACTAGAGGTAATTTCATAGAAATCATCTGATGGCAAGTAAAGAAAGGACACAGTAACGATGGCATCTAAAACTATCCTTGTGGAAAGGAAGGATGAAGAAGCTCTGGTATTATTCTATTTTGTGACCACAAAGATATCTGAATCTATGTAATGACTTTTAACAGAAAAACCACCGTGTTAAAAACATTTCAAATGAAAAAAAAAATGTTTAACCAGTCTTTCTTTGACAAAATTTTTATTGAGGGAACACCCTAGTGAGCGGCTACATAATAATTTAACCTGTCTGTAAAGGACCAGTGGTGGGTGGATGAGAAAAATCCAGTATGTGACTTACTTACATCTGAAAAAGGCTGTTTAGGCCTTTAAGGGACTCTACTCCTCTGCTCATTCTCATTCAAGCAGTCCTCTTTGCATGCACCTCTCTCCTCCAAGACAGCCAGCCATCAATTGTTGTGTAATTCCTCCCTCCAACCCTTCAACTCCGCTAATATACCAAGGACAGGACTTTCTTTCTCCATTGTACAAGGCCCTGTACCGAACCTTTGTTAACTAAAACCCTATTTAGAAACAGTCGTTTAATTTTCTTAATTCGGTATACAGAAGGCTGAAAAGAGAATGAACACAGGTTTATTATATGCAAGAAGGTAAAGCCAATTTTTAAAAAATACTCTGTGTTCTAAGGGTTCAGCCTTTCTTTGGCACTGAGGGGGGGAAATCTTCCTTCCCTCCACCCTTCCCTCCATCTTCTGTACAGTGAAAGCACTATCAAAATACAGAGAGGGAGGTCTTTATTTCTGCCTCCACAGCTGCCTGAGTTAGCCTCCACGTTTTTCTGTCGTCCTTTTAATCCAAATACCTACTGCAAAAGCCTAACCACTGTTAAAAGAACATTCACCTTCAGAGCATTTTATGGAATGTATTCCCTGTATACACCTCTTAATCCTGTAAAACAGTTATTAGTTAATGTTGCAATCAGCTAGGGAAAAGGGGAGAAGCAGGCACTACAGTTCGGTTTTAACACAGGCTTTGCGTGCATTTTCTCATTCTGAGATCTGCAAGGCACAGAGGTTGAACGACATTAAGTTTTCTTATCATTTTAGTGCCTTCTCATCCCTTTCGATTAAATGATTCAAATTCGGTTTTCCTTCCTAGTAGCTATCACATATTTAACAAAACACATTCCACGATACGGATAAAAGGCTGGTCAACTTAGCTCTCCACAGCTGGATCGCCTAGAACATTTCTTGTAGGCAGAAAGATAAGCAAGAAACCAGAAACAGAGCGTACCTGTTTGGGGCTAAGTGGAGGAACATGAGAACTGGGAATTCCAGGGTCAAGAGGGAGAGGGAGATTACTTTCTGTTACCTTCTCATGCTCTGAGCCCATTAAAGGTGTACTACCCAAATAAAACCCATTCCTGTGAAAGTGAGAACTGTAGCCTTTACAAAAGAAGTTTCGGGGACCCAAGTCTGCAGAGGCTTCAAATAACCAAGAGCATCTGCTTTTGCTCTATCTACATCAGGTAAACGCTGCTGTAAACGCAGGGTCAGCAAAGTGCGGGTGAGCCTTCTGCTAGCGCGGCGTTCCTCGGGCTTCCAGACAGCCCTCCTGCGCGCCTCCTCCCTCCCTTTCGTGCATTCTGAGCGGCTCCGCCGATTCCCACATAAAGTGGGTCCTGGCCGCCATCTTAGAGAGTCATTCACACCAGCCGGACCGCGGCACCACGATTCCAAGCCTCCCAGGACTGCCCCCCACTACTTCCTCGCTGCTCTCCCTCATCTAGCACAGGGGATCAAACTCCAAGTCTGAGGCAAGCAGTGTCTCTGAAATCTGCATAATGTGAAATGTCAAGTCTGACCACAGAACCCAGGAGCAGAGCGAATGCGGCAATGCACGTGTTTGCACGTCGGTGCGTTTCAATTTCCCATGCAGAGACCCACAGGAGCTCCACCAGGAGATTAAAGGGAGCGCTTCGCTGAGGGTTTCCACTCTAAAAACCCGCTAAGTGTTTTCTCCTCAACGCTGAAGATATGCTCCTAGAGGGCAGGGACCCCGACTGAGTGAGGGGTGGAGCAGCACCGGCAGAGAAAGTTCCCATCTGCTCGCGCTCCAGCTGCCCTTCATCCCGGGGCACCGAGGCCAACTGTGTCTCCGGGCCTCCTCCTCTCCCGCGTCTCAGGCACAACGTAGTAAACACCGGGAGTGCCGGGCAGCGCGCACCTCCCCCAGGCCTGCGGAGGACAGCCCGGCAGGTTATGAATGGCCTCACTATGCCCAGCTCCTTTTCACACGCGGGCACGCGCACACGCGCGCCCCAGAGGCGAAGATTTAATACCCTGGTAACAGCAACGGCCAACAGAATCAATGGCCCTCCATCAGACAGAAAGAAAGGCGCTCACGCTTCCCAGGCCTCCTCAAAGAGGCTCCAGACCCGGCGACACAACCCATTTCCCCAGGTTGACTCTAACGAGGATGTTCCCCCAATTTCATTCCCTTCACCCACTGGATAGTGGAATTCAGAGTACGCCCAACTTGGAACCTTCCAGGGAATTGGATATCAGGAAAAACTAATTTCCACGGGCGATCACAGATTTGCTATGTTCCTTCTCAATGAGTGAAAGTATGAATAAATCTTCATTGTATGTAGGATTGCATTCTGAGGTCTCTACCAGTTACCGGACACGCGTTTCTGAGAGCGAACAAGAACTAAATGCTACCAACGCCTATGAAAAGCAACATTTATTTTTATCTTTCGCACGCAAAAAGTATTTAGAGAAACTGTAAAGTCACACCTAACCGCTAAAGATCTGCACTTTTTGCCTGTTTCATTAACGAATTCGGAGGTGAAGGATCTACTGTAAAAACCGCTCGGTCACCAGCGCGGCGCGGGAATGCATCTGCGGCGCCTCGGCGTCCAAGCTCCCTTCCCCACGAGCCCCGGGACACCGGCAGCCCATCGAGTCCCCGCCGAGCGCCAGGCAGCCCGCTCCACCGAGCCGCGCCGACAGAAGCATCTGCCGCTGCACGAATCTTCGCAGCGCGGTCCCGGCTCCGGGTGCCTGCCACCTCCCGGTGCCGCACGATGCCTGGCGCGGCTGCGGCGTCCGCACAGCCCCGGCTCTGCGGGCGCTTCGGGACCCGGCCGGCCGCGCTGTGCTCCGGGGCGGCGCGCAAAGACGCGACCCCACGGGACTCACCGCTCCAGCTCCCTCGGTGGCCGCACAGCAGCCGCCCGCCCAGAAAGCCGGAGCCAGCCGCGCGTCGCCGCTCCGCCCGTGGCCAGCAACGGGCCGGAGAGGTGCCCGAGGTGCCAGCGCGGCCCCGGGCCTCGTGTCACTCACCGTTTGAAATGCTCGATGATCTTCTCTTCCCGCACGTTCTCCGGTAAGTTTCCCACCCAGAGGTGCCTGGTTTCCCGGACCATGCTGGGCGGCGTGCCGGCGACCGTGGTGGCTGGCTCCCCCTCGCCGGCTTCGTACGCGGCCGTCAGCGCAGGGAGGCGGGCGCCGGGGCGGCGGCGGCGGCGGCTGCGGCGGTGGCGTCGGCAGCGGCGGCGGCTCCTCCGGCTCCCCCCGGTGCAGAGACCATCCCTCTCCCCCAGGTTCTGACTCTCGGGCCTCGCAGCTCCGCTCTGCCGCCACCACACACCCGAAGCCGACCCTCGCGCTCCGGCGGCGCATGCGCGCGGGCGGCGGCGGGCGGGGGAGCGGGAGGAGGGGCGAGCGAGACCCGGGCGGCCGCGACTACGACGGAGCCGGCGCTGTGGCTGCCGGACGCTTCCCACCGGCGCGCGCGGCCCGCCTCCCGCCGCCTGGCCACCGCCCCCTGGCCGCGGGCGCGCGCGCGTCCTCCCGCCCCGACGCCGAGTGCCTCCCAGCTGGCGCGCAGGCGCGCGGAGCCCCGAAGTGGGAGGAATGCGGAGCCGGGAAGCGGCGCCCGCGCACTCAGCTGAGTGCGCAGGCGCGGCGCGGGGCGGGAGGCTGGCCGCCCGAGGCGTCCAGGGGGATGCTGGGGCTGTTTCGCCCCGCGGTTAGGCGTTGATCTGGGGAAACACAAGAGAACCGGGTTAGTTTCGAGGCACAGAGGTTTCTAGAGGCCAAAGTCCCCATGCCTAACCGCCCTGCGTCCCGCCCCTGACCATTTCCGGACGCCGGGATCCCCGCCTGCTTGGGAAAGTGGTCGGGACCAGGACGTCCTTTTCACCGCCCAGACAAGTGACTACCGTTGCAGAAACCCATCCCTCCCAAGAATTATTGGCGTGTAGCATTAAGCAACTTTTTATATAGGAGCTTGCGAAACCTTTTCCAAGATGTCTCTTTGCTCATCGTTACGGTACACAAGAACTAGAGCTGAAATGATACAGGCGTCTCACACAGTTCCCCTCAGAGAGTTTGGCATAGTTTGTTATTTAAACAGGGAGGTTAAACCTTTCCAGGCTTTTGAAACTTGCAGTTGACCTTTTATGTGAGGCCGCCTTACAAAAAGATAAAGCCTCAAAAGGCAACTGTAGAATAACAGGGGAAAAAAACCTAGCTCATTAAAACTGTCCGCAGACTCACGTTTTAATTCTTCATACACAAAAATAAAATGGTGCTTCAGGTACAGCCTTGACTCTATGTCTAGTTGTGCCCTTAAATACTAGGAAGTGCATAGTGCACACTGTCTAGGGTTCTGATCAAGCCCATGTCTAACAAAGGCTCTATATCACTTGAGCTACATTCCCAGTTCTTGCTGTTGTTTTTTCTTTGTTTGGCTTTATTTGGAAGGTGCAGTTGTTTGTGTTTTGAGAAAGGCTCTCATATAGCTCAGGCTAGTCTATAATAAGTCAATATCAACCTTCCAGTCCTGAGAATGCAGACCTGGGCCACCATACTGCACTTTGAAATGGAAAAATTTTGAAATGGAAAAATCATAAATAGCAATATTATCTGGGGTCACTTGCACATAATTGTTTCTTTTGCTCTAATGTGAATGTGCTAATTTTTTCTTTCTTATTTGTTCATTTTAGTCTGCCACATAGCCTAAGCTTCCTGATGATGGTGATATCTGAGTTTAAGATGCAATAACCTTTCTTGTATTGGTTTAACACTCTATACTGGACTTAATATATCTCACTGCAGCCAATTCGATCACCTGAAATAATCTTGGGACATTCACAAAACTAAACGAGTCCCAACATCAATACAGTACAAATGTGAGCCAGGTGTGGTAATACATACCTATGATGCCAGCATTTCAGAAGTGAAGGCAAGATCGTTAATATGAAGCCAGCCTGAGCTGCAGAGTAAATGCTGGTCTCAAAAAAAAAAAAAAAGAAAAAGAAAATACCAAAACAAACAAACAAATCAGAGGGCTGGTACAGACATAGCCCAGTCGGTAGAGTACTTATGGAACTGGAAGAGGCCCCGATTTAGCCAGGTGGGGATCCCTACCTTCAATCCCAGCACTCAGGAGGCAGAGCCAGGCATGGTCTACAGAGGGAGTTCCAGGTCAGCCAGGACTATTATATAGACTACTGTTTTGGAAAACGGAAAAAAAGAGAAAAGAAAAAAAAAAAAGCAGCAGCCCTGGATTTGATCCTCAGTATAAACTGGACCTAATGGTGTATGCCTATAATCTCAGCACTCCACTGGAAGGTAGAAGCAGGAGGACCAGAAGTAAAGGTTGGGGGCTGGAGAGATGGCTCTAGAGGTTAAGAGCACTGACTATTCTTCCAGAGGTCCTGAGTTCAATTCCCAGCACACATGGTGGCTCACAACCATCTGTAATGAGATCTGGCACCCTCTTCTGTATATATAATAAATAAATAAATCTTTAAAAAATAATAATTTAAATGGGAACAGCTTTAAAAAAAAGTAAAGGTTACCCTCTACTACATAGGGAGATAGATGAGACCCTGTCTCAACAACAATGTGTGTCAGATTTTTTGTTTGTTTTTTTGTTTTGTTTTGTTTTGAGACAGGATTTCTCTGTGTAGCTTTGGAGCCTGTCCTGGAACTCGCTTTGTAGACTAGGCTGGTCTCAAACTCACAGAGATCTGCCTACCTCTTGCTCCCAAGTGCTAGCACCACTGCCGCCTGGCCCAGACTTTTTTTTAATACCTTAATAATAAGGGTATATTGGGGCTGGAGAGATGGTTAAGAGCAATGGGTGCTCTTCCAGAGAACCCGGCTTCAATTCCCAGTATCCACATTCGCAGCTCACACCTGTCTGTAACTCCCAGTTCCCGGGCTTCTGACACCCTCACACAGACACACATGCAGGCAAAACACCAATGAACATAAAGTTAAAAAAAAAAAAAAAGGATATAGCTGGGCGGTGATGGCACACGCCTTTAATCCCAGAACTCAGGAGGCAGAGGCGGGCAGATCTCTGAATTTGAGGCCAGCCTAGTCTACATAGTGAGTTCCAAGCAAGCCAGGGCTACACAGAGAAACCTCGTCTCAAATAATAATAAAACAATAGTAATAATAAAATAATAATAATAATAATAATAATAATAATAAAGAGGTCAATATATGTATGTGTATATGTTAGTTTACTTGAGTGTTTAGCCGGCATGTATGTGTGTCATGTATGCCTGGTGCCCATGAAGGTCAGAGGAGGGAACCCTTGAAACTGGAGTTGGGGATGGTTGTAAGCCACCATGTGGACGCTAGCAACCAGACCCCCAGGTCCTCTGCAAGAGCAGCAAGTGTTCGCAACCACTGAGCCAGCCTTCCACCTTTCTCTTCCTTTCCTTCTTTCTTCTTCTTTCTTCCTGTCTTTCTGTCTTTCTTCCTTCCTTCCTTCCTTCCTTCCTTCCTTTCTTTCTTTCCTTGAGACAGGGTCTCACTATGTATCCCAGGCAATCTTCCTGCCTCAGCCACCTAAAACTATATTTTTTTAAATGTCCTTCTTCTAGATTAGCTTGAGGGTGTGTTACAGTGGTACTGTTTCCCCTGAATAAAAATCTGAGTAGAGCCTGTCATGGTGGCACAGGCATTTAATCCCACCCCTTAGGAGGCAGAGGCAGGAAAATCTGTGTGAGTTCCAGGACAGTCAGAGCTCCATAGTGACACCCTGTCTCAAAAAAAAAAAAAAAAAAAAGGAAAAAAAATCCAAGTAGAGGGACCCACTAGATACCTCAGTAGGTAAAGGTGCTTGCCACCAAGCCCCACCCGTCACGTGGTGGGAGGAGAGCACCAACTTCCCCCAGTTGTCCCCTCACCTTCTCAGGAGCATACTGGCTCATACACACCCGGAAAAGTAAGTAAACGGGGGAGGAGCAAGACATGGAGAAAAAAAACCAAGTGGACGCAGTAATCACTGACTGGCTTCTTTCTGATTTCTGACCTTTCTATTGCAAAAGCTGTTGATAACAGTGCAAGGGCCAAGCGAGTGCTTTGTGCATGGCCGGGAATAGAGTGTTTCATTTTCTCAGTGCTTTGCATTTTTGTCTGGCGACACATCAGGAAACACTGGTGAAGCTGTTTTCCATCTCTGTCACTGTTACAAAATACTTCAGGGGAATTTCTTCATGAGCCTGTATCTTTGTAAGTTTCCATAGAAAGGAGAACAAAAGAAAGCAGAACAAACAGAAAAGCAATCCACTCTAATTTTCTGCTTAAAAAAAAAAAAAATCTTAGGTCAGGGCTGGAGAGATGACTCAGCAGTTAAGAGTGATCACTGTTCTTTCAGAGGTCTAAATTAGTTCTCAGCACCCATGTCTGGCCCACAATTAATCACCTGTAACTCCCCAAGTTTTCCAGGCCTCTGACCTCAAAGGGCATCCTCACTCTCCTGCACGAACCCACACAAGAAACACACATATACACATAATTAGAAATAAAAATAGAGATGGGCGCGGCGGTGCACATTTAATCCCAGCACTTAGCAGCCAGAGTCAGGCGGATTTCTGTAAGTTTGAGGCCAGCCTGGTCAACATAGTGAGTTCCAGGACAGCTAGGGCTACATAGAGAGACCCTTGTCTCAAAAAATACATAAGAAAATACATTATAAAATAAAAATAAAACTTTAAAAATATCTTAGTAATGGCTAGGTGTGGTGGGACACACATTTAATCACAGTAATTGGGAGGCAGAGGCAGGCAGACCTCTATGAGTTGGAATCCAGTCTACATATTGTGTTCCAGAATAGCCACAGGCATATAGTGAAATCCTGTCTCAAAAAAAATAATAAAATAAAAAAATCTTAGTAATTGAGACATGCAGTGGTGGTGCACGTCTTTAATCGCAGGACTCAGGAGGCAGAGGCAGGCAGATCTCTGAGTTTGAGGCCAGCCTGGTCTACAGATCAAATTCCAGGACAGCCAGTGATACATAGAGAAACCCTGTCTCAAAAAACCTAAATAAATGAACCTTAGTAATTGATGCTCATAGCAA